TAAAAGTTGTTCAAACCCATTGTGAATTTGTAATGATGTTTAATACTATGGTTGGTGTTCTTTTAACTTTTGTGATGAAACCCTTTGTACTGCCACGCCCTGTGTTTCCGCTTTAGCGGGGTGTGACAATGGTGAACAAGAAAATGATGCTCACACTCTTTGCTAGAATCTCATGAAAGTCATCAGACATGTTGGAACTCAGATCCACTGGTAGCTTTGTTGATATTGCTATCACTGTAATGGAAGCAGAATCGATGGTGAAAAATCTGCATGGAAACCAGAGCTTCCGTTGTCGAAAGCCTCGGTAGACATCTGCTACCATTGCTAGAGTGCAAACCAGAGATGCTACACAAATATACAATCCCACCCATGGCATGGCTTCTTCTGGAGATGTCCATGTCATCTTGCTAGACCAGAGTAAATGAAGTGTTAAGAAAGATTTTTATTTGATCTAGTAAATACAAGAGCTAACTGATGCTTCATATATATACATAGGAGTTTAAGAAAGATTTTTATTTGATCAAGGAGAATATGAATCAAACATAGTAGTGAGAAGCTAGAAAGATATTGTTAGTTATTTATTTCCAGCAAATCTGTGGTTAAGAATTCTATTTCCATTTTATCATGTTTGTGTAATTTTTGTCTCCTTTCGTTCTCTATGGCTTGACAGTGTACTTTTGTCTGTATCCAGATTCCAGGATATATATCCAAGGATGAAATCTCTTGTTAAGAAAATAATCCAACAAATTGATGGATAGTAATAAGACGTATAACAAAACCTTGCTCCATTGCGCATCCTTTAATTGAAACAGCGAGTTTTAGAATATAGTATATACATTTTTAACTCATAATGCTATAGAGTGTAGACTTTATTATAAAGTTATCTCTATTTATTTTTTTAGAGTAGATTACATTTTTGGTCTCAGAGTTACCTGTTTTTTCTGGTTTTGGTCCCAAAAAGAATTGAGTTGCAATTTTGGTCCTTATGTTGATGCTACATAACGATTTTGTATTTGGTCCTGGGTCGTTTAGGTTAACAACTAGTTAGTTAAATTTACAAAATGACCACTTTACCCTTAATTTGTCTTTTTATTATTATTTTCTCTTTTGTTATTATTATAGACTAAATTTTACGGTTGGTCCTTGTGGTTTTAAATTACCCCTTCAAACGGCCCTTATGAAATTTTTTCATACACGAATGGTCCTTAACTTAGGATTTTAGAACACCACCTGCCCGACTAACACTATTGACAAATGCTGTTAGAAATTTGTGAAATGATGAAAATACCATTTTATAATTCTTTATATTTGTGAAATGACGAAAATGCCATTTATTTTAATTTGTTATAGTATTTTATGGGCCCACCTACCCTCCTTCACCTGCACTTGAAACGGAGCGGTCAACTTTCATCACACCTTTTCACCTTTCACTCTCACTTTCTGGTAACTCCCTTTGTGCAACCAGCTCATCTGACAACAAATCCCTCAGGATAAAAGTGGAGAAGAATCATTGTCTTATAGAAACCCAGAAATTGTTTGAATTCAAGGTTGATATTTTGCGTGTTTTGTGTTATCGAAATGATGATTCGGCTTTGAAGTTTCTTAAGAAAACGTATAATTTACCCAAGAAAATATGATGATTTGTTTGTGAATGAATGGTTAGTTTGTGAACAGTTGATCTTCGAGTGTGTTCAAGATTGATTCATTATTGTTAATATAAGTTCATGGGATCTTTTTCTACTTGTGTTTCTAGGATGGATTTATTAATTGTTTTATTTTGATGGGATAATTTGTTTCTCGTTTGGGGAGATGTTTTTCACGATAGGTGTAGTTGGGCGTAAAACGGTTGGTTTTAAATTCGTGTTAGGTATTTATTTATGATTTTGTATAGTATTATTATACATGTTATTGGCAGCGGTTTCGGTTGTTATATGGTACAAATTATTGGTATGTTCAAGGTTATAGAACTCGTTACTCGGTACCTGTTCGCCCAACTACCGAGTAGCGAGTACTCGGCGGGTACTCGGATTTGGTAATTCATGTAGAAATATTTTAGAGAAATTATATATGTAAAAATCATAAGTTGATTGAAATATATAACAAAATTAGATACATGTAAATACACAAAAACTGAAAAACACATAATGGTCTCACTTCGTGACTAATTACTAAAAATTTAAGATATATATGTAGTAATAATCACATGTGTGTATAAATAATAAATCATTAAGTATATTATACATATTAATCACCGAGTTAACCGGGTTTTACAACACTGCTTAGTTCAGTATGGGGTCGATCGGGGAGTACTCGGGATTCTATAACTCGCCTCGGTAAGGGGCCGAGTAGTGAGTACTCGGAGGAGTACGGCCAACTCGGCGAGTTTTACAACACTGGGTATGTTAAACAGTAGTTTGGATTTTATTTATTTATTGTTCCTGTTTAGCTTCACAAATGACATAAAACTTAATTTTCATATGTTTTTTGAGACAACAATGAGTGTCTTTGTTGTCCACAAAAACTGTAGTAGCTTAAACTTAGTGGGGGAGGTGATGAATGCACACTTACAACTTTTAACTATGTTTTAAGAAATTCATCATTCACATTAAGTATAAACCGCAAGTCTTGTTTTAAGAAAGAAATATAAGAAAAGGATAGAGGTTGAGAAACCTGAAATTCCATTAATAATATTGGTAACAAGTACCACACTAGTGATGAGCTAATTCTTGGTAGATTTCGAACATACACATACTAGTCAAACAATAGTTACTTTGAAAGATTCATTACAACTTGAAGAAGCTGGTTGAATCCTAGCTGAAGAAGAAAAACCATTGGGTATCTAACTTTTTGGTACTGCACGCCACTTGTCAATGTATCCCATTGACTCCATGTCCAAGTTGGGAAGTTGTCTCTTTTTAAGCATTTTCAGGATCTTTTTGGATCTACCAAGAAGTTGAGTTGCAGTTCTTATGCTATCTTCCCTTTTCTCTATTGCATCATCATGACACTTCATGGTTATGACATATGGCAAGTTGGTAAAGCAAGCACATAGCAGATCTGCGATTATGGTTGATATCCACTCAAAAAGTTCTTCATCTGTTGGCTAATTTTCTTTCTCATTGCAATGAAGCAGTACGGTTTGGCTGATCCTGTACATAGAACCTGCAGCAATGAACTTACAACGTGAGTGATCCAGACTTACATTTTTCCTTGCCTTGAACTGTATCACAAATTTTGCTGCTTCATCACCCAACCATTCAAGAATCTCCTTCAATGTTTTTCCTTTACGAGCCTTCTCTTGCCTTTACCAACTCTTCATTTGCATTGATACTTTCTTTGATGTCTTACAAATTCGAGACCTTCCTTGATATATAGTGGAAAGTAACCCCTTGACATGGCAGTTTGCAATATTAGGAAGCGCAAGAGCAATCGCTGTTAATGTTAGTGCGATTAGGCCCCAGCAATTCTGGGTTTCTTCTGGATGTAAAGGTGGAACTCCATCATTGTCGAAATCTACTACTCCATTGAATCTAGTAGATTTCTCGAGAAGCTTCATAAGATTCCTTGGCTCTTTCTTTTCAGACTCTTGAAGAAGTTGAGTTATAGAGTTGAGCACATTTCGTAATATTCTCTTTGAAAGCTTCGCATCCTGTTCGATTTGCAGGATGTAACCAGTATATTCTTCCATATCTGATATCACATTGCTATTAGATGCATTTGGTTCTTCCTTGAACCACTTCAAGGAAGACTTGGCGAAATGGTAACAATAAGAGAATAAGATCAGAAATGATCTGGGAACGAGACATATTGTTTTACATATAACTACAATCGTTATCTGAAGTGCTATACATAAATTCAAAATCATATTTCGGATATTATGGAAAACCTTCTTGCAATGGCGGCCTAGGAAATGCATAGGGACAGGACTGCTTTTCCACAGCTGAAGCCTTTGGATCCAATGCTTCTGGACTCTGAACACGTTTAGATGGTGCATGCTCCATTTCATGGAGAGGTTGAAATGACTGGTGGCAGTCAGACATCTGAAAATTGGTGCTATACTACCAACTATAATACCAATTGATTGCAAGGTAACAATCACATTGATTGACCACTTATAATCTGATTCATCATTATGAACAATGTGGAAAAGTTGCCTCCAAAATTAGCAAGTGGCAAATAGTTCAGGGGTTATTTCAGTAACTTATCATTTACTATTCATAGTATGACTATGAATAGTAATATATATGTGAATTGAAT